TCGAAATAAGCAACTCGCTATTCCCATCTTTCTGTTTGAAGTCGGCCGTCAAGTGAGAGATCCGAAAAGAATTCGAATTTACTAGTGCTAAAATGAGAAAACATGTTATGTTCTATCCTTCTCCAAAGAACAACACCTGTGCTCAAGCAATAATTTTATAGTTTGTATGTGACACCAGGACAAAGCCGAAATAATACCAATCATAATATCAACCACAGAAGTCATACCCCACAACATCCACTAACACATTAAAGCAATGGAACTACACCCAAACACATACATATGTACAATTACAGACATCAGTCATTATTGATACATGCTCAATTATGCGGAAATTTCTAAGCACACAATAATAATAATTATCATACAGTTATAAAGACAACACGCTTGATCAAGGTCCGCGTGGATATCCATTACTAACCAGACATAACGTCTGAGAAAAGAAAAAACATAATAATAATAACAATAATAATAATAATAATAATAAATAATAATGTGATGTAATCATGCTTGTCGTTTAATGGTGTTAATCTTTCTTATTCAGGAAAGTTATTACATATAAATATAAAAAATTACGACTGTACCAAGTGCTTTGACACTTTTAAGATTTTTCAAAAACTGGAGATAATCGATTCGTCCAGTCTAGGGTTCATATACATATACAGTATGTACCACGAAATCCTAGACAGCCAATTATTTCGTAACCTATTAAAGATACGAAAAAAGTTTCTGATATGAAATTGAATGGCAAGAGGGGTCCGATTTATTGGCCGTAATAATTTTTTTTTATCATTATTGTTTACAGAGATATGAAAGTTACGTTTGGTTTTTCAAATGGGATTATATACTTTTTGTTTGATCAATAGATAGTACGTTTCAAGACGAATTCAGCAAGCTTAATGTAAACACCCTTTTACAAATTGTTTTTAAGATATTACGCGTAAAAGTTTACTGATTTTCGGTACAAGAAAATCTGCGAGACCAGGAAGCACTAAATTCTACATAATAGTTTTTTCACATTATTAACGCGTGTTGCAACGTTCCTACAGATACTCCTGTAAAAGTAGAAAAACAATTTCTAAAACGAATAATAAATTGTATACTAAATGATGGAAGGCACGTGGAAGGGATTCCAAAATAAAATATTATTTTTATCTCAAATTAATTTATATTTTTATATTTTTTTCTCCTAAAAATCCTTTAGCTTTATCCGTTAGCTTTATTTCATTACTAAAACATGGGCGACATTTTTCTGCATGCCGTAAAGCTAACGGTTGTGAAAAAAACTATTATGTAGAATTTAGGTCTGCCGTTCCTACCGCAGTCTCTTCGTATCGGTTTCAAGAGGCACGGTTTAACCCGTAGCATTTTAAGTGCGGTCGAGAGTCAAGACCCCCTACTGTGCTTCCTGATCTCGTAGATTTTCTTGTACCGAAAATCAGTAAACTTTTACGCGTAATATCTTAAAAACAATTTGTAAAAGGGTGTTTACATTAAGCTTGCTGAATTCGTCTTGAAACGTACTATCTATTGATCAAACAAAAAGTATATAATCCCATTTGAAAAATCAAACGTAATTTTCATATCTCTGTAAACAATAATGATAAAAAAAATTGTTACGGCCAATAAATCGGACCCCTCTTGCCATTCAATTTCATATAAAAAACTTTTTTCGTATCTTTAATAGGTTACGAAATAATCGACTGTCCAGGATTTCGTGGGACATACTGTATATACTATTGCTTATCAATTCCAGAGTGGGGCGTTGTTGCTACACAGCGCCCCACTGCTTCAGGAAAATAAATCTGTGCGCATCGAGAAATGTTTAGGTAAATTTTGCCGGTCCCAAAAATCGTGAAAGTGGGCCCTGTAACTGTCGTTACACGGGAAAAATCGTTGGAAGCTACCGAGGACACAATAACCCCAACCACCGTTTTCAACCGTTTATTGCTGGTGTCTCTGGGTCACTGGGTAGTGGGTACACGCATTTCCACACAGCCGCACCACCATCGTCACCACCGGTGGTTGCAATAAATTTCCTAAATTTACGAACGACCAAGGTCAGCCATAAACCGACCACTCGGTAGCAGGCCGGTAAATCGGCATGGGAAAGTCGGGACAAGTTTTGCATTTCGAAATGGTCGAAACCGGCGCTGCTCTCACCAATTTTAACGATCCTGACGAAGAAAATTGTAAACGGGATATTTATAGACATCTCCCCCTTGTACTTTTATTGACTTGGAAAGGGCAATGTTCGAAAATTACTATTTTCGGTGCTCACCGTAATTTTTACATAACGTCCATTTGTATATCTCAAATAATTGGGCAACAGTTACTTATACAAGGTGAGTCACTTAACGTTACCACCTCAAATATCTTAAGAATAAAGTTGAATGGTTCAATGAAGCTCACACGATCTCAAAAACATTTTTGTTTTTGTCATTTTTTTAAAAAGATATAAAAATCACCATTTTTTAAAATAAAACCACCCTTTTTCAAATACCTACAATGATAATCTTTTTATTAGGAATTCAACAACCATAATTAGTCAAGGTCATTCAAGGTCACTTGCTTATTTCGAGACAATACTGTAAATTGCAGCGTAATTGAGTAGAGAATGTTTGAAAACATTCAATAACATTGAAGGACCTTAGTATGTTTACTACAAGCCTCACTTGTGATAAATGTATTCTGCCACATTATATTTTTGCTTTAAAAAATTCAAAGTTACAGTTAAAGGCTGAACAAATATATAATAAAAATTTGTAGGCTCTGTGATTTTTCATTTCGCTATCAAAAATTCCGAAAAAACAGTAAAAAAAGACGCCCGTCACGCAGGATGACCCCCTTAAAGCAATCAGCCAGCACTTACAGTGGGTGTAGAATGTATTCGTACACCGATCAATTGTCCAAAAAACTTTTGTGTGAAATTGTAGTTTCTTAACTTCTTTTTTTATAATCAATGATATTTTACATATTCTCGGAAGTCTCTAAGATAGATATAGTCCAAACAACATTTACTAGTTAATATAATTTGTGAAATTAACAAAAAAATGTGAAAAGTGGGTAAAAGTGTAGAAGCAATAAGTATTTGTACGATTCTTATGACGAACCATTTATAGTAGAGTTTGTAACGTAAACACATTGGTTTATTGTTCCGTACGAGTTAGAAAACATCAAATTTCCAGTAAATTACTTTAAAAAAAGGCACTAATAGAAGAATGGAAGAAGATCCCACTTCTTATTAACTTCTAACTAATAATTTAGTTAATTTAATGCTTAGATCAAAGTTATAATAGTTATAAAATCAAAAGGAAATCCCACGAAGGAAGTATTATATACTTATAAATTAATGTACATTTCTTTTTTTTTTAATCAAGTGTTAAAAATTAAACAGTTGTGCGAATACTTATTGCTTCAACATTTCTATCGATTAATTGTTTTTTTCTTGTTAATTTTGCAACTTACGTAAATAGCTATTTCTTTTTGTAATCTATCTATTCTAGAGATTTCCGAGAATATGTAGAATGTCATTGTTTATCAAAAATAATTTAATAAATTACAATTTTACATAGTTTTTTTGGAAATTGATCGGTGTACGAATACTTTCTACACCCACTTATGCGACCCTTGTAACAAACACCTCGCATCGCGTAAAGGTTGTCCGTGATCTTCCCAATCCTTTCTGTCCGAGTTACTCTTTCGTCTCGTTCCGAGTCGTTGCGAGACGTCGAGAAACGGTTCGACGCTTATTCGCGAGGGGCGTTTAATTCGTAAATGCGCTGGTTAACGAACGGCTCGAATTAGCAGCCGGTGGAGCGCAGTTTTATGGAAAATCGAGGGTAATTAAACGTTCACCGGCAGCACGAGTCAACGCACTGTACAATTATGCTGCAAACAAGCGTTATGTTCCGGGAGAAACTCGTAACGAGCACTCACCGATTACAAAGTGCCGCATTACGGTGACCGGAGCCGGTTAATGTAAGCGCCTGCTTTTTATACGTTTCAATTTTGGAAATGAGCGGGCCGACGTTGTTGCCAGGAAGTGCTGACAGCCTCGAAGAATCTCGTTAACCCTTTTGACGGATATTTTTTTCCTTTTTCTCGGGGGAATGTGTTCGGCACTCGCACGCACACGCTCAGTTTTCACGTTCTTGGAATTCTTATTGCAGTTCATGCAACCCGTCGTCGCTCCTCCTCGCTCTACGACTATATTAAACGATCCTTCCGCGTGTCGTTCAGCTTGGCTGAGACTCATTAATGCAAACTGCTACTCTGTGCTCCGATGTATTAATTCTGTTTCGTGTTAGTCGACCGAAATTGGCTTAAAAAAGGCATCTTGTCTGGTTTCCTGAGTGCATCCTTCACGTTCGCGATCTGTATCGAGACGGGACAATATCTTCATTGCTAGATATACAGGGAGTTCCGTAACTGGTGGTATAAACGAGCAGAGAGTGATTTTTACATGAAAAATTGAATCGAAAATGTAGAATAAAATTTTATCATATGATGCTTTATTTTCGAAAGGATAAGTTTTGAAAATTTACTATCTTACCGTTCCGAGTAGGGGAGTACTTCCGTGCTTCTTGCAATATTTATAAACATTATCAACATGGCGATATCTCTTACATAGATTTTACTTTTTTCTTATGCTTACGATCTATAATGAAATCTGTCGAGCTGAATCTGGTAAAAGTGCACGCATACTCGACAAATTTTCAAACTTATTTTTTTCGAAAATAAAGCGTCATACGGAAAAATTTTATTGTACATTTTCGATTCAATTTTTTACGTAGAATCACTCCCTGCTTGTACCACCAGATACACGGGATACCCTGTATATTTTTGTTCTAAACGTTAGTCATAGAATTCTGGAATTGAGAATAAAAATGTATTTACTGGAAGAAATACGTAAGGTTCAAGCGAAATTTGTTACGGCAAAGCAAAGCAAGCTAAGCGAATTTATTTTACGATATTCACGAAGAATTTTTTCGTTTCAGGACATGACGATGAACTGTGGGGGTGATAGAGGAGGGTTGGAGGACCTCGTCGATCTGGCAACCGACGTCGCGGATTCATCTCCGACAATTCGAGGTAATTAAACTTTCCATTCTTCTCGTTCCCCTAGCGATGAGCCTATTCTTGAAAGATTCAAATCACGGTCCCTTCGTTTAAACCGAGAAGTTATTCGAGGGGTGAATCGAGGTGAGATCGAGTTCGTATTTTCGCGAGACTATTCAGCAATTTCAAGACGTTATTTTGTCGAGTCAAATAAGAGAGAAAATGAAACGAATTATCTGACCTGTTGGTAGTATAAACATTAACTATTAATTAATCCTTTGACTGCGGGACGATTCTTGCTAGAAATTCTAAGAGGCGTAGAGGTATGAATTTTAAATAAATATCAGCTGATAGGGGATGATAAGACGGAACTTTTTTATATTTACTGTTTATTCATAGAACGTTTAGTTTCAAAAATAAAAATTGAAAACTTAAAAGTCCTTTTTCCTGAGATAACGTAGTAGCCTGATCCTGTTGCAGTCGTTATAAAGAAAACAAAAACAACAGTGAAATAATCGAATTTTAAAAGAATATTTTATAAAGAATGATTAAACGAGACTATTCTATATATTCAGTTTATTCAAAGGATGTTTAGTTTTAAAAATAAAAATTAAAAACTTAAGAGACCTTTTTCCTGAGATCGCGTAGTGGCCTAATCCTGTTGCTGTTGTCTTAAAGAAAACAAAAACAACAGTCGAACAATTGAATTAAAAAAAATATCTTATAAAGAATGATTAAACGAGACTATTTTATATTTACAGTTTATTCAAAAGTAGTCGAATATTCAGAGATAAAAATTGAGAACTTAGACCTTTTTCCTGAAATTCAATTTTTACAACGAACTTATTATTTTCAAAACTAAATGTCCTATGAATAAACTGTAAATATAAAAAAGTTTCGTCTCATCATCCCTCATAAGCTGATATTTAAACAAAAAATGATTTAACGGATATAAACATTTCTCTGCGCTCATTTCTTAAGATATTTCATATGCACGCAACGGGTATATCAAAGGGTTAATACAAGTCAGAGTTGCGTAAACCTTATTCGCGAGTACCGAATACAAATTTTTCATACATTCGTAAAGTAGCTGTTTACGTGTCATTTTTTAATTTATTCGTAAAATAGGATCCATTAGTAGATCTTAAACCGAGAAAATCAACGAACGAAACTCACCCTGTACGCATAACGTAATTTATACTCATCGCGATTTCTTTAATGCATTCTTTAATGCGTTTTTTACATTCTAGTTGCGAAAGAACTAATTAACCCAAAGCATCATCTTTCAAAGTTCTCCAAAAATTTCAATTCCGCGTCGTTGCAAGTCCAACAATTGGAATTGAAACGCTCGCAGCGATATCCTCGATTCCATTTCCTTCGAAACTACCCTCTTGTTTCGCAGACTGTTTTCCACGAAACTAGTGTACTGGCACGTTTTATTCGGCCGTTAATTAGATCGCCAGGAGGGGACCGGTAATTAAGAGAACGTCCGCGTGTAACGAGAGAGAATAACACTGTCTAGATAGGGTTGTTCGGCTGGCGTGGGGTTGCCACTCGGAAATTGTTAAGGTAAATAAACGTTTGGCTGTGGGGGAGGGGGTGGGGAAATTGGCAGAAATCCAATTAACCCCGAAACAAAGGGGAATATTTTCTCCCTAATATCCCCGAGACGGAATAATTATTTACAGCCGCAAGAAAACTCTTTGTCACTTTGCGCTTCCTCTCAATGGAAAAACTGCTCGCAGGTCGCTAGCGCATTGTAAACGTGTCATTAAAACGCTTCGTCCCGAGGCTGCGACTTGCTTGCTAAATTGTATCCAGGGAAAGGGAATAACCGCAAGGCAGAAAGTCACCCTTGTTCGGTCGAGAAATAGGGGAGGATAAAATGCCCGTGAAAACGTGTCTTTTCTTTTCTTTCCCAACCCCGTTCCGATACATAATTTCTTTTCATCGAGAAATCATTGTACATACACGTCTTGAATTTATATCTTTGTCTATTAGTTCTGTAAATTTTAATTGCAAATTAAGTAGAATTGTAACAACCGTTTTATTAAAAAGATTTTTCGAGAACCGCTTTCAGGGTTAACTAGAATTCCTTTATTCTGATTTATTCGAATAAAAACTTACAAAATATTTTTCTCCTATCAAAGTAATGTCTGCTTTTAGGTACACGATGAGAATGAATCTCAGACAATTTTTTGAATATGAACAAATTTAATGGACCATTTAAAGATATTCTCTTCTCAAGATTTGATTAGAGTTTTACTTGGATTTGTCCAGCGAAACTGAATTATCAACGTTAACTCTGACCGCGGGACGATTTTTGCTGGACAAATTAATTCTTAAAAAATATTTCCTTATAAAGTGTGACACGACGAAACCTTTTTATATTTACAGTTTATTCATCCGACGTTCAGTTTCAATAATAAAAATTGAAAACTTAAGTCCTTTTTTCCGAAATTCAATTAGATTTTAAAATATAAATCGCTGTAACTTGGCCGAATGTCATCGAAAATTTTCCAAATTGTGTACAGATCCGTAGTAGGATTCAGCGATACTACTAATTCATCAAAATGCCGAAAATCCATTACATTTTATAAATATTCAATTGCAAATGAGTAACTGCCAGAAACAAAATTCGGGCCCTAGACGGATTAAATTCCACCATCTTGCAAATATAATTTGAATTAATTATTCCAGCTTTGAAATCAATAAAACACACTAAGCATGTACGAGGTACTTAGGCGGATACTTTTGCGGGTAACTGTAGATAAGAATTCTGCTCATCACTGGCCACCAAGGATGCTCGGAGCAAGTCGCTCGAGTCCAAACCCATCGCCCGCACCGGTAACGACTTCTATTAAAAAGCGTACGCTGTCTCGCATCGATGCAAACCAAGGCCCAAAGTAATCACCGCTCGAGCCAATTAGAGACACTTAGGAGCTTCAGTTTCAATCTCCTTCGGGCTTGCGAATTATCGATCGGGGAGGATCTCCCGCTACGCGCGGAGCCAATTAAACGCGATTCCAGACGACTCGATGGAATCTAAAAGGAGAACGAGGATGCCGGCCACCTTGTCCACCAGGGAAACCAAAGTCGAAGGGACAGCGTGATCGATACCATCGATCGTTTCGATCGCGTGACCGAAAATTTGCCGTTGGCCCTCGGACTCGGAAATCGCAGTCGCCTTTGCCGGATAAAAGACAGCCACCGAGCAGAAGGACCGAGTAATTAGAGGCGATTACAGGACGCGTTTAAGCGAACGGAATGAATCGCGAAAGGGGAACTGGTTGATTATAAAGTGGTAAACCTTGGGATATGTAGTTTGTCGAGGAGTCATCGCACGATTCCGAGGGACATAATTACACGGTTCTTGGACGATCTCGCCTGACGGCTGAGATAGTCGAGCTGAGAATCCGCTCGACCAAAAAATTACTGTCCCTTTTTATCTCTCTCATCGTGGTATATACCTTTTGACAGCTCGAGAACGTGGAAGCTGTCGTTGGCAAATCCTGTCGCTCCAAATATATCTCTGCTACTCAGGATTATTAACGAAGTCGACGTTTATGGTTGATTTCATGAAAATATTTAGCAAATATTTCTACGGTATAGTCGCTTGTAGTTAAGAGTTTAAAACATTTCATGATCGTGGTTGTCGAGGAACGTTTTCGTTCATTTATTTTGCAATCTTTTGTTAATAACATATTTATTATTCTTCTTACTAAGAAATAGTAAAGCGTATGCAAAGATGCTTTAATCGAAACGGTAGTTACGAACAAGAAACAAAGATTCTTACGTGGCGTAAAATATTCAACCCCTATCGCTACTTTCTTTCATTGATCATCGGTCAACGCGAGGAACAAGAGTTAGACCGATCGCACACGGGCGCAACCGATCAGTTCCAAACCACTCTGAAACTAGTTGCATGCAACCGTGGATCTAGGTAAAACAAAGATAGTGGAGTAGGTAAAACAAAGAGCGCAAACGGTTTGCAACACTAATTTCAAATCGGTTGCGCCGTGTGCGATCGGCCTTACACTTGACGCGACGCGGTGACTGGAAGGCAAATTTATCCGAGTCGATTCTTTCGAGGACTCCGCCAGTCACCGCAACTACATATTTGGAAACGCTTCGCTGCTCGACAGACGAGTTACTTTCGGCCGTTTCTCTTGGGAAATCATGCAGCTTCGGGGGAAGAAGTTCGGGCCGTTCGAACGACCCTGCTTCTTTCTTCGCGCTTTTCTAACTCTGATAACCGTTGGCTCTACGGAATGGAATTTGTACAATCGGTCGCAAAAATCTACATATACACACATACATGCGTTAAAAATACGAATTTCGACCTTTCCATAGTTATCGACTCTTTGTATTCGGTTGTTCCCTTCGACAGGACATCCTAAGTCGAGCATAACTTTGTTAACGATTACGCAAGATAAACGTACATGAGATACGTATTTTTAAAAGTGCATGTTTGCTTGAAGTTTTCCATTATACCGATAATTAAACCTTTATTTACTGGCGGGACTTATAAGCCTCGTCAATGTTCTCATGGTATTGTATTAACTCTTTGCACTCGAGAGGTGACTCTCGGTCACCATTAGGTTTAACGCAGTAAATCAACCAGCAATAATGTTTAAGTTTAATTTCAACGCAACTCGAAGAAAAGAAGGCCTCGAGTGCAAAGGGTTAATAATAAAATAATCGTTCGTCATTTTCTTGATGGAGCATTAAATAGTCGCAAGTATGCACAGATTTTAACAGAAATGTTGCCACTATTATTAGAATATCATCCATTGATCGTTAGACAATCGGTATCCCTCGAATTATTATATTACTTAATTGCTAAACAGAAGATTTCGAGATCGATGGATCTGGCCGATCGGGGAATATTACATTAAATGGCCGGCACAATCTTCCTATTTAATACCCATGGATTTTTATTTAGGGGGAAAGTTAAAACAGCAAGTATACAGTGAAATGCCTACAACCAGATATTTTTTTTTTCTTTTTTTATTTAATTAAGCAATTACAAT